CTGTGTAGCTAGGGGCTCAGAAACTCCCTCTAACTATCTCTCTCTCCCTCTAAACTCCCTCTAACTCTCTCTTTCACTCACCTAACCCCATCCTAGGACAGATAGTCTACCACAGATGCAGCAGGCTTGAAATCTAGGGGACAAGGTAACCTCCACCTTACTCCCTCATAAGGTGTAGGTTCTACACCAGGAAGAGCAAGCTGAGAAGATCAGAGGCTACCTCCCCATCCCTAGTGCCCATTCGTAGACCACAGTATCACTAAGGAAAAACCAGATCAGACAAAATGACTTTAAAAGAAGTGTTACTAGAGATAAATATAGGCATTTTATGATTACAAAAGGGTCGGTCCATCAGGGAGTTATAACACTTTTATATAGTTATAAACTAACAACAGAGACCCAAACTATATTAAGCAAAAACTGACAGAACTGAAGGGAGAAATAGTGCAGCAGTAGTAGTTGCATTCTTCAGTACCTTTTCCTAATAATAGATAGAGCATCTAGGCAGAAGATAAAGAAATAGAAGATTTGGAAACAATATAAACCAACTAGACTTGTAGACATCTTTAGAACACTTTACTGAACAACAACAGAGTGCTTAAACTCTGCTCCGGCACACAGAATGTTCTTCAGGATAGACAGTACGGTAATTGGAAAATCCAAAATGCTCTAGAATCCAGAAGTTTTTGAGTGCTGACATGATGCTCAAAAGAATGCTCATTGGAGGATTTCAGATTTTCAGATTCGGGATGCTCAACTGGTAAGTATAATGCAAATATTCCAGAATCTGGTAAAAATTCAAAATTTGAAATATTTTTGGTCCCACGTAGTTCAGACAGGAGATACTCAACCTGTACAAAAATATGTTCTCTGATGACTTCATCCTCTAATGAAATAAATTAGAAATAAACATTTTTTTAAAATCTTGGGATAATAAACATAATAATTAATGAGTTAAAGAAGAAATCAAAAGGAAAATTAGAGCCTTGAGATGAATGAAAATGAAAACAGGATATATCAAAATACAACACAGAAAACCAACAAAACCAAAAGTTGTTTCTTGGAAATGATCAAATGACAAACCTTTAGCTAGACTGACCAGAGAATGAAGAAAAAAGACTCAAATGACTAAAATTAGGAATGTAAGAGGTGACATTGCTATCAACCTTGTAGAAATAAGATGATATGGGAATACTGTGAACAACTGTGTACAGTTAACAAATTTATTAAGTTAGTAGAAAAGGTCAAATCCCTGGAAAGACACAAAATACCTAAAGTGACTCAAGGAGAAATAAAAAATTGAAATAGACTTATAACAAGTAAATTAGTGTTTTTAAAACTTCTCAGGAAGCAAGTGCTAGCCCACATAGTACTGGTGGAATCTATGAAACATTTAAAGAATAATTAATATTAATTATTCACAAACTCTTCCTAACGATAGAAGGGAGAGCACTTCCAGCTCAGTCTTTTAGGTCTGTGTTGCCCCAATACCAAAACCAGACAAAGACACTACAAGAAAAGATAATCTCAGACAAATATCCCTTCTAAATATAGAATCAGGAGTCCTCCACAAAATACTAACAGATTTTAGCAGCATATTAAAAGGATTATACACCATAGCCAAGTGACTTATATCTTAAGAATACAAGTTAGGTAACATCTGGAAAATTAATGTAACGTTATGTTACTAGAATATAGGTAATATCATATGATCATGCCAATAATTGCACAAAAAGCTTTTGAAAAGATGCAACATACTTTCATGATAATGCTCAACAAACTAGGAGCAGAAAGGAATTTTTTGAACCTAATAAAGAACATCTTTGAAAACCTCAAGGCTGACATACTTAATGGTAAAAGAATGAAAAAATTTTCCCTACATCAAGAACAAGACAAGGAGATCTGTTCTTATCACTTCAGCTCAACATTATGTTGCAAGTCTGATCAGGCAACTAGGTGAGAAAAAGAAATAAAAGGTACCCAAAGGCTGGATGTGGTGGCTCATGCCTGTAATCCCAGCACTTTAGGAGACTAAGGTGGGAGAATCACTTGAACTCAGGAGTGTGAGACCAGCTTAGGCAACATAGCAAGACCTCATCTCTAAAAAATTAAAAAAATCATCTAGGCATGGTGGTATGCACCTGTAGTCCCCACTGCTCATGAGACGAGGTGGAAGGATCATCTGAGCCCAGGAGGTCGAGATTGCAGCGAACTGTGATGTGCCACTGCACTCCAACCTGGGGTGACAGAGTGGGGAGAAGAAGGATAAAAGTAATAGAGTTTGGAAATCTTCCCCTGCCCTAACCTCGCATTGTGTGCTTAGGTTGCCGCTTCCTTCTACCCAGATTGGAAAAGAAACAAAACCATCTCTGTTTGCAGATGTTGTGCTCCAGTATGTAGATAACTCTTAAGAATCCACTAAAAAAGCCCAACTATTAGATAATAATAGATGAATAGGAAAGAATTTAGATTCCAGAAATTGATTCTTATATTTGTTCCTACTTGATTTTGACAATGCTGCCAAGGCAATTTAATGGAGAAAGAATAGTTTTTGCAACAAACAGTGCTGGAACAACTGGCTTTTCACATCCAAAAGAATTAAGTCGAATCTCTACCCCATACCACACACAAAAATTATTTCAAAATGTATTATAGAGCAAAATATATCATAGAGCTAAATGTAAATATAATGGCACTAAATTATAAATCCATTAGACAAAAACATTAGCATATATCTCTATTACCTTGTATTTTGCAGTGTTTTCATCGCTATGAATTCAGAAGTATAAATGACAAAACATAAAATATGTTACTTGGACTACATAAAAATTAAAAACTTTTTGTGCTCTAAATGATACCTTTAAGAAAGTAAAAAGACACAGAATGGAAGAAAATATTAACAATACACATCTCATGCAAGACATGATGTTTGAAGTCTAATGTTAATGAATTGGGGACATATAATCCTTTTACAGATAATAGTCATCAGATTGGGAACAGCATTACAATCTATCACAGCATTGTTATGTAATTTATTTTATCCCTCATGTATCATGTTTCCTGAGTATGTGAATTTATAAGCTACTGTTTTGTGATGCATATTGAGGAAGGGCAGAAGGCCAAGCCCTGGTCTTTGTCTCTTCTTGTGAATTTAAGAAAGGAGATGATCCCCAAAGTGGAGAGTTCCAGTTACACACAAACACACACACACACAGTTGATTGTTGTCCATATTTGTCACCACTCTATCTGACAGTGCTTAGGCAGAAGCATTATTAGACAGAGGTGTCTTCCAGTGTTATAGTCCACTAGCCCTAGGACTTTAGAGGACCAGATAGAGACGTGAGAGGAGAGTATGTCAAGGGCATCTGATCATCAGTTTCTTACTCCTGCAAGCTTTTTGGCTCTAGGTTGAAGGAGCAGGCTCTTATCATCTCAAGGAAAACAGGAAAGAAGTAGAGAGTAATAGAGTTTGGAAATCTTCCCCTACCCTAACATGTCATTGTCCACTTAGATTGCCACTTCCCTCTACCTGCCAGTTCAAGGCAACCTTCACTTCTTCCAGAATTTCTTACTGTTTCTTGGGTTTTTTCTTGGAATCAGTACCTATCTCCTTTTAACTTCAAAGTTTTTCTAGCATTGTTGTAGGGGCCGGAAGGAAGAGCCAGAGAGAGCCAGTATATCATAATTCATTTCTAAAAGAACTAAAAGCCCCTGATTAGACTAGTGAAAATTATTAACTGTTCATCAGCTGATGTCAAGCTTCCCAGGTCATAAATTAGAGGCAATCAACTAAATTGAAGGAAAGGTAGAGGCAAAACTTCTTGAAAAACAAAAGCATTGTGGACAGTTGAACCAAATATAAGATGCAGAATTCTGGCTCTGTGTTTTTCAGCTGCTCAGAATTTGAGGTTTATATACAAACCTTGAATGTGAATTACAAAACACATAAAATTGCAAAAACCATGAACCAAAATGGCTGCATGAGGAGAGGACCTTGTGAGATAATGTATATTAAAATTAGAAAATGAGGGTTTAGATGGGTGTAGAAGGATAGGGAAAAAAACAGAGCAAACAGATTGGCAAAGGATTGGGGGGCATGCACACAGAACCAGCCTGACTCAAGTGGACTTCCTATGTGAAAACATAGGAAGGTACTTATTTAGATTTGGTGACATCACATTAGGAAGGTCCCTAATAACTAGTAAGTATGTGGGGGTATGTAGAGAGAGAAAGTGAGCAAACTGTGGAAGTTAGGGGCCTATACAAATAAGATTGGCTACAGAAGTACTAAGTGGACTATATAATCAGGTTTCACTTTTAAGGCAAACTATGACATAGTGCCATGGGAAACATTAAAATGGATTTGGGATTTCAGACCACTGAGTGTGTGTTTCATATTGTTCCTTTGAGAAGAGACAGTTTAGTACTGCAAGTGAGAGCGTGCCAATTAGTCCCAGCCGGCTTAGATTCAAATCCAGATCCAAGTATGACTTTGGGCAAGTTAATTAACTTTTCTGTACCTCAATGTTCTCATCTATAAAATGAGGATGGTAAAAGCCCCTAACTCACAAGATCTCGTCACACTTTGCCTCTCAGTTTCTGTTCCTAAATTGAAAAGCACATAGCGGTAGAATTTGAGGAGAAGACATAATTTGCAATTAGTAGGGAGGCAGAAAGAAAGAAAAAGAGCTAACCATTGTTCCCTGCCTGCTTCCTCAGTAGGTTGTTAGCTTCACTGGGCTGCAACTTGATTCATTATATACCAGCACCAGGTGCCCTGCATAACGTAATTGACACTCAGTAAATATTTGTTGAATGACTAAAAGCATTTTCGTGTGCACTTTTAAATATAAATCAATTTGATCTGTATTTTAATATATTTGGCCATGTAGTTATCTAATAATTTTGATGTTTCGTTTTTTAACAACTAAAAATCATCTTAACAATTAGAATTATCTTTGAAGTATTTGTGATAATTTTGTTGTTGTTGTTTTTACAGGCCAGTTGGAATGCCAAAAATGGAAAAAGTCTACTTACATAATCCTAGTTCCGAAGAAACTATTACTCTAATATCAATATCTGCTACAACATCACATTTTCATGCATCATTTTTTCAAAACAGGGTAAGTGTCTCTGCTATAAATGGTTTCCCTGAGTTTGAAATGGAAATGTCTATATTTTTATTGATGAATAATTGAATTTTGCTGCAATTAGAATCTGGTTTGAATGTTTCGTATCTGTTCCTGGTTTCAGTTGGTTCCAGTTCTAAGAATTATGACTTCTACTCTTAAACACACATTATTTTTTTCAGCATGAAACAATTCAGCAAATCTACTATGAACGTTAAGCACTCTAAAAATGTAGCATTCTTATATTTAGTAGATTTTCTTTTCCTTCCTACTAATAGATAATTCCTTGGCACTGTGTCTTCTCTTGGTACATAATAAATTACCACATACTGGATGACTTGAGACACTTACTTAGCACATAGTTCTATAAGCCATTAAGTCCAGTAGATTGTTTGTTTAGTGTATCATAGGCTGAAATTAAGCGGTCATCCGGGCTAAGTCTGTCTGGAGGCCCTGAGGGGAAATCACTTCCAAACTCATCCAAGTTGATGGCAGAATTAGGTTCAAACAAGCTGCTGAACTGAATCCTTCATTTCATTGCTGGCTGTTGGCCAGGGACCTCTCTCAGCTTCTCAAGGAACCCACATCTCACGGTTTACCCATCTTCAAGCCAGCAACAGCATATCCTCTCCCTTTTTCGTACCTCTTTGGCTTTCTCCTCTGCCTCCAGAGGGGAAAACTGCCTTTAAAGGACTTGTGTCATTGGATCTGGACCATCTAGATAGTCTCCCCTTTGACTAACTCAAAGTCAACTGACTGGTAACCTTAAAATGTCTGCAGAAATCCCTTTTGCCATGTAATATACATAATCACAGGTGTGGTGTCTCATCATAGTCAGAGATTAGAGCAGGGGGCCACTTTAAGGTTCTTTCTAACATGAATATCCCCTCAAACCATATTTGTGATTTTATAGGTAGTACATGAACTTGTTACTAAAAAGGAAGAAATTTTTTCTGACCAAAAACAGTTGCATATTAAATACATTTTAAATTTGAGAGGATGCATTAAGCTTTAATCTACAGGTTTTCAAAATAAATAATAAAATAGCAAATATCAGAGGGAATTTAATGAATGAGACCTAATTTCATCTTCCCAGGGTTTTCACTGACTCCTTTGAAAGGATGTGACTGAATGACAAAGAAGAAAACTTTTTAAGCATATAGGAATCAGTCGCTATATTAATTTTATATCAATTATTTAGATGATTATATTGTACCTTTCTAGAGTTAAAAAAAGACATAATTTTGGCTTTTTTCTATTTAAAAATATTTTATAAACAAAAGATTGATAAGTCAGCAACTTTTGGAAATAAGTTTTTAATTTTTTGTGGTACATAAAAAAAAATTCCTTTTCTAAATTATTTCTTAAAATAGTTTTTTCTTGAGTTACTATGTTGATAACTAAAAGATATTTTTACATTTTTATGAATGTGCTCATGGTCTCTGATGTACAGATAAAGAGACAGATCTCCAGAAGGGTTTGCCCCAGTCATGCAGTTAGTGACTAGAGCCAAAGTGAGGCTTCCCAGTGATTTGTATCATATTATGCTCTAGTGTGTGACATAAAGTTAACAACCTATATAGAAAGGTGTGTTTATGACTAATGAAATCACCCAGCTTTTAGACATTGCCAGTGTTTAGAGACATGTTGGGTAAAGAACAAATTAGTAAATTAAAAATGGAAGCAGTTCAAAAATAGTTCACAACTGCACTATATGTTTTATTCCTAACTTGCAAACTTACTTTGCTAAGTCAAACAGTATTTTCTTGTTTCTGAACACTCCAAGCTTCACCTGTTTTAAAGTCCAGGGTTTCACTTCTTTTACTGCTATTACAATACAGAGACTAGACCGAGAGTTGCAAACAGATTCTTACTGGGCTAGGTAAACAAATGAGGGAGGCAGACCAAGTGGGATGAGGAGTGCCAGCAGAGCATGTGGCCTTTTCAAAGGGATCGACCCCCCACTCAGCTACAGCCAGTGGTTGCCACGTGGGCTTGTCCCTGTGCATTTCTGCTGATTTCTAAGAGCAGGCAGAAATAAGAACTTTTGTATCTCTTCCAGTCTTTGCACATTGAAAATGTATTCAATTTTAGAAAGATAGTGTAGACCAAACAGCATATGCTAAAGGCCACCAAGTTGACTTTTCTCAGCCAGTCTCTCGCAGGGACCGATTTCTATACACGAACCTTACACAAAGGGAATAGTTTTTTCTGAAAATTCTTCAGAAGATTAAATGTGTACATAATCAAGGAACAACTTAAAACCAATCTGTATTTTCTTCTGTCGGGTGATGGAATTAATCAATAAAAATAATTGCACCTATCAAAATCTGCATTTAAATAGTCAAGATTTAGCTTCAAAGGAGATAGCCAAAATCTTTACTATCTTTTCTTCTTCTTCTTGCTTTTCATCTTTTTTTCCCCCTACAGTAAAACACTGACTTAAGAAGCTCAAGAAGTAGAGGGGAGAGATGGAATGAACTCTTGGGGAAAAAAATAACCCATTTCCCTTCCATTTCAGCTTTATTCCTTCAATAACAGCCTACAGAAAAATGAATAGTTTCTTGAGTCCAGGAGAGCAAAACCTTCCTGTATAAACATACATTCTAACTCTAATTGCCTTTGTCATGCTCAATATTCCAGATCTTATTTCTTTGACAATAAAACATTGTCTGTAACTAAAAAAATTTTCAATTATTAACTGATGTCATCTCTATATTGACCAAACAGTAGGAGGAAGTACAAAGAAATAATCATTTTTAAATTATTGTTTAAACCAATTTTACATAATCATATTTTAACATGCACATACAAATAATACTCTTGTTAAGGTTTTGATTTTAAGACTACCTAAAAATCAAAAAGAATAGTAATAAGAAGAGAGGTAGTGAATGTGGTTTGTGACAATTTATTTCTGTTATTATCTGTTAATTTATAATATCTGTTAATTAAATTTATTATCTAATTATGATCAAATGTTATATAATAGCAGAATTTCATTTTAGGTCTATTTATGTTTCACGACTGTGGCTTCATTGGCCATAAAGTGTGCAGTATATGTTTTGCATCAAATAGTATGGGTTTTTAATATTCTATAATCTGATTTTGATTGATTGATGTGGAAATGGGGTGTCTTCCACATGGTAAGGCAACAAAAATTAATTTTTCCTCGATTGACTAGAACCTTTTGACTAGTTAAGCTTTCAGATAAATTGGAGATTAACTATTATAAACTTTGTTTCAATCTGTCACTAAAATTAAAATGTTACCGTTCACTTACTTGCTTAATGTGATGAACATTCATCACCTCTCATTGGTGGAAAGTAATTTGTGAATATTAGCGATTATTGTAATTAGATGTAGAGGCCTAGACATTATTTATTCTATTTTAGATTAAACACTGATGTCTGTGCATATTATTGAAAATTGAACAAAATGTGATATAGCAGTAGTATGGAATATTGTGCAGAAAATAAAGGCAATGAAATGATCTGTATCTCTTACTCTGGAATAATATGCATAACACGTTAATATGTAAGAAAAGCATAGAGTAGACTATAATACCATTTTTATAAAAAACAAAAAATTCTGTGTATCTTTGGGTATATTAATAAGAGCCAGAGTAAGATGCAGATAGATTCACCAGTTTAACTGGATAACCTGAGAAAAGTGAGAATGGAGGAGGTTTGAGGACATTAACTTTCTATTCAATCATCTTTGCACTATATTACTAAGTAAAGTAAGCACTTGTTACTTTTGTAGTTTAAAACATATAAGAAAATATAGGCTGGGTACAGTGGCTTACACCTATGTAATCCCAGAACTTTGGGAGGCCAAGGCAGGAG